TGAGACGGGGAAGGGCGATCCCCGTGACCACCGAGGAGGAGGGCTGTGGCCTGAGCCCAGCCCAAAGCACACCCAGGAGACGGCGAAATCCCCGCAGGCATTTCTCACCGCACCTGAACCTCTGTATTCCTCTCGTCCACCGCAGTCAAGGGCGGACGCTTTTTCCAAGCCTCAAAGCCCGTGTTTTTAATCATGTCCCTCTGCAGAGAGGGGGAATTTGCGCCCACATCGCTCATGGCATCTAACCTAGACGTCCTGCGCTGGGATGGGGAGATGGCTGGACGGCGTGAGCCTCTCCGAAGGGGGAGCCAGCGCCCTGAGAGCCGAGGCTCTGGAAAGGAGCCACGCTGAAACTACCCCTACTCCTGGGGCCCAGGATCCAGCTCCTGCGAAAGGGCGATAAAAACCACGTTCCTCGGCGAGGAGGCAGCGGGGCTGAGGTCGGCACAGATAAAAGGAAGGGGAAGATTAGGGCCCGGCGAGACGGTCCGGAGCCGGGCGAGGAAACTCTTCCACGAGGAGTCACGGGGTGCGCAGCACCCAACCAGTCAGACCAGCGCGGCTGCCAACCCACGCTCCAGTTCCTGGGCGGCCGAGCCCCGGCCTCGAAGAGGAGGAGGAGCAGGAGGAGGAGCAGCAGGGCTGCCCCATGGAGCCCCAGACCCACAGCAACTTTGTGTGGGGCACAACCTCGCTCAGACAAAGCTGTGCTGCAATAACACCGGCTCTATATCGGGATCACTCCCTTTTCCCAAGCAGACCCCGGGATCTCTTGGGATTTGTGCAATTCTTTCAGTAAACCACCCCCTTTATTATGGCAAGGAGAGAGGTCAGCCAAGGAAGCCGGGAGGGTATTTAAAGTCCAGCCCAGCTACAGCTTAGAGAAGGAAATTTCACAATATAATTATTTTCTGACGTGATGTCATGGGCGTAATGAAACAAACAATTACAGCACGTTAAGGAGAGATCCTGTCAGGGCTTGCTGGCCCGAGATTGATTCCGATTTTCCCCTCCCCTCCGCAGACGATGCCATGTGGATGTCTCATCAAGGCCCTGCTACAAAGCTTCCCTTAAAAACAGAAAATAGGAGACAATCAGGTCTTTGTGTCAGTGCTCCGACGGCAGGGAAGAGCCCTGTAAGAACAAAGTCGCAGCAGAGAGCTGGGGATGCATTTGGTAAACAGATTTCAAAGGGTTACTTCCCCCTGAAGGCTTTTTTTTTTTTTCTTTCAGAAGGATGTCCTCGCTACGTCCCACCACTCGATTCGACCACAAGCCCCTGTCCAAACGATAGACGGAGCTCGTCCTGCCAAAACACCGCTGGGCAGGGGCATGGCTAGGGGCTGGTGCATCTCCCCAGTCCCACCAGTGCCCCCTGCCCCCTCCCAGCTCCATTCTCCCCTGGAATAAAACACCCTTTAGCTCTCGGCTGTTTTGCACAAAACAAGGGCCTCGGATGAGCGGTTTAACTCCAGCGCTGACCTAATGGGAAGCCACTGGCGGACGCCTGTTTACCCAGCACATACCTCAGCCAGGCAGGGCTCTCTATCTCCGAGGCACGAAGCACTAAGCAGCAGGACTCTGCCAGGGACAGGTACATGGGGCAGAGCCACTTCGCTGGCAAAGCTATACAGACACGGAGCTAAAAAAAAGTCCCTCTCCTCCTCCCTAAAGCTCGGTAAAAAGGGGAAGAGAAACCCCGGCATCGCAAACTTCTTGAAATCGCCCCCACCCCGCTTGCCAAAAAGCCTCCGCGTGAAGGGGCCTGGTGCAGGACGTCCCCTCCCCGAGCAGGCCAGCACTGCGGTGACATTTGGGTGACGCTGTTCTCTGGGGTGAGGACCCCACCAAGGTGTCCGAGTGTTGCAACACTCACCTTTGCACTGCTACACCCACAGAAGAGCGCCCAAAACCTCTTTCCTTCATCCCGGAGGCAGTCCTGCTGCCCACTCGCGTGGGGAGCGGTGGCACCCAAACCCACGCGTGGGTTTTTGGGGCAATGCCAGCCGAGGAAATCCCCTCCCCAGCTCTGTGGCTGCCTTTCCTTCGCAGCAGAGCCGGCTGCAAGGCCTGTCTGCCCGCATACCAGCCCATTACGGTCACAGGCCTTCGCCTTCTCATGTCTCTGCCACTGGGGCTAACGCACAGCCCATCTAACACCGAGGAGGAGGAGGCAGCCTGCAAACCACCTAATTAATACAAACACAGGCTGAGTTACATTTGCACAGAGCGCCGGGCTCTGCCTCATGGCCAGGAGCGAAAAATCTGATTTTTGAAAACCTTTTTAGGTGTCATTTTCTCCGGGGGGATCTCTCCCCTCCCCGCTTCGCAGAAAGGAAAGCAAAAAGCAGAAATCTCATCAGCGACTCGCCCCCAGCCCTCACGAGGGGCTGAAAGCCACAGCCCAGAGGAGTCCCCCTGCCCACGGACCGGAGCGGGGTTCAGGAAAGGAGACACGTGCTTCCCGCAGCCCCGCAGCCACCAAGCCGGGACACCGGGGCGGCTGTCAGCCCCGAAGGAAGCCGAGCTGAGCTCTTTGAAGCAGCTCAGCTACGACAAATTTGCAGGGAAGTGGTAGGAAACGCGGTGGCCGCAAGCCTGGGAGGCAGCTGGGGTGCACGCTCAGCTACCGAAACCCCTCGCCACGCACCCCCTTCTCCCCACCACACCGTAACACGTGGCAACACCCAAGGGGCTGGGAAGACCAGCTGCCGGTCTCCCCTCCCAAGCAAAACTGAGTTTTTATTTTCCATTCACCTCCCTCGGAAGCAGAGGAGCTTTTTCTGCTACAAAAAACCCTCCCAACTCCTAGCCTCGAGCAGAAAGCGAGCGCAGAAAGTTCCAGCACACGTGGTGTGGGCTCGCAGAGCCGAAGGGGAGGCTCCTCGTGGGAAACGTTTGGCGATTTGGACAACAGGCAGAGTTGGTAACAAACCGCTCCCTTAAATTGCCATCAGAGAGCTCGGAGTGGGAGGGATCCGCATTCACAGCCCCATAATGTGGCAGAGGACGGCTCAGCTACGTGGCCGTGGTGCAGGGAGACGACGCACCCAGTACAAGGTCCGGGGAGGCTCAGCACCCACCAGAGAGGGGCTCTTTGCAGGTGGCAGGGGGACAAACAGACCTATCACCACCTCTGAGGGACCCAGCTAGAGAAAAACTCCTCCAGCCTGAGTTAAACCATGCAAATTGTGCGAACGGATCAGTGCCAGAAGCTTTCTGTCCCAGCCGCAGCCTCTGCGACCTCGTCCTAGGAGCCTGACTTACGGTCCCGTCGAGCGGGGGTCTCGGTCCCCACAAGCCCTTTGAAACCTGAACTCTGCTGTGGTTTTTTCAAACGTAACAACATCAAAGCGGCGCCTGAACGTCACATCCTCCGAGCTAAGGACGAGCAAGGCCCTCGGCCGCGGTGCTAGGTGCAGCCGCCAGCGTCAGACGGTGAATTTGTCGCTGTGGATCAAGAGCTAAACATGCTGACGAGCTAAAAAAGGAGGAGGAGGAGGCGGCTCCCCAGCATGAGCGCGTTGGATGGGTGGTCTCTGGAGCGTTCCTCCCTGCCCCACCTCCGAGGGCAGAGCCAGGCACAAATACAGGAACTAGGAGTCGCCCATGCGTTTCTTCCGTGCCTTCAAAACAAGCACGCCTCGACGCAAGCGGCCCCGCCAGGCTGCGGGGCGAGGGGATCCTGCCAAAGACGAAAGGGGCCCTCCGCCACCCGCATTTCCACGTATAAAAGCGGTGACGCACCATCAGCTCCCCTCTGGGTGCAAAAACGAACGTCCTCTAGCACAAGCGGGTCTCTCCGCTCGGGGAAATTCAAGGATCAGGCTAATCCCAACTGGGACACGGTCTGTAATAAACCCGTGGACGCCTGGAAGCCAAGCTGCTGTAGCAACAGCCCAAAATACCGCTGCAAAACAACTCCGGGAGAGCAGCCGCCTCCTCTCGCGAGAAGGAAGCACGAGTCGGATTGAGCAACATTTTTCGCTGCCTCTCAGCTGTGACTAAATCTAGCAACTGCCTTTTTAGCTGGAGCCAGAACGAAAAAAAAAAAAAAAAATAAAAGAAAAACACTGGAAAAGCAAGCAGAGCTCCTTTTCGGCACCGATTTCTTCCGCAGCAGGAGCTTACGGCCGCCTCGTACAGGCAGGCACGGCATTTCCAAGGGGAAGCTGAGTGGCCTCAAGCTCGCACCCCATGTCCATGCACCCCCCCGGGGCTGGTGGGAGCTTTTGGGAGACGACGGGGCTGATCCGAGGGAACTGAGCAGGGAGCTCCGCGCCAGCCGTGAACGCGGGCCTGTCTCGGGCAGGATGAGATCACAGCGTCCCACACCAGCACCCAACTTTAGGCTAAATATACACTTAAAGAGCCCGTTCTTCCGCCCCTGCAAGGAAATTCCCCAAGGCTTTTTGTTTGTTTGTTTTCTAGGGGGAGGGCAGGGGGGATTTAAGTTATTCCGGAGTTTTATAAGGCTGTGACTCTTTCTGCGGGCTCCCACAGCCGAGCCGGACTCAGCTCCATGCCCCAGCCCCGACCCAAGACCCCTGGGCAGCCGTTGGGGCAGGACGGCGGCCTCGCACAAAACCACGCTTCACCTGTAGCGCCGCACACAGCGTCCCCCTTCTCCCCCGCCTCTCCTCTCCGCACATCTCCCTCCTTCCCCATTCACAGGCATCTCCTCGGTTTCTTTTCATGCCATCAGCCTCCCAAGAGAGTTAATTAGATCAGAAACTCCCCAAAATGAGTTTCAGTGTCTCCTGGCGATCAGCAGAGGCTTAATACTTCCATCCCGGGGCCAGCATAAGCACCAGCCCGCTTGCCAACACGGTTTGGCATCGATCACCCCCAGCTCTAGCCCTGGCATGACTGTGCCAGCACCCTGAACCCCGCAGAGTCCAGACAGCGCACGGAGCCAGCTGCGTGCAGCTAGGCAACATCATTTCGCCTTCGATTTCCTCTGCCCAGCTACGGAAAGGAACCAAGACCAAACAACTTACCGGCAGTGTTTGCTATGGCCAGCGGCAGCCCTTGAAGCTGATGCACCTGGATCCCAGACGCTCCCAAGGCACTGAGGTTAATAGTCTGGAGGCCTGGCATGGAGGAGAGCTGGGCAGCGTTGACCGTGACAGTGCCGCTGGGGAGGGAGGCGATGGGGGTGAGCGTGGTGCTGGTGCTGCCCGTCTGCCCCAGCGACACTCCCTGCATGGGGGCCAAGGTGATTGTCTGGGCCTGGGGGTTCTGAACCTGAAGGTTTTGGAGCTGGATGGTCTGCCAGCTCACCTGCCCGTTGGGACCCACCGTGGGCGTTCGGATGATGATGGGCCCGGAGTTGGGGACAGCTTGGAGCTGCAGGTTCTGCAAGGCGTCTTGGGAGATGGCTTGAGTGGCAAAGGTCTGCCCAGAGAGCGGGGTGGTCTGGAGGGCTTGGATTGTCTGCCCTCCTTGGACTAGCTGAGGCTGGATCAGGATCTGCTGCTGCTGCGATTGCTGACTCTGATCCCCCTCTTTCTGCTGCCCCGGCTGCAAAGCCACCCCAGAAACTTGGCTCTGCAGAGAGTCCGAGCTCTGGACGCTGCTGACCCTCTGGGGTGTCTGCGCCTGGACGTTGGTTCCCACCGTTGCGCTGGTGGAAAAATTCATGATGCCCATATTACTGGTGGTGGTGGTGGTGGAATAGCTGTTGGCGTTGGTAAAAAAGGCGCCGGAACTAGCGTGAGACGTGGCCGTGTTGGTGGAACTGATGGCAGCACCCGAGGTGGCCGGCTGGGAGCTGCTGTCCGGAGAGCCGGAGCTGCTCAACGTGACCGTCTGAGAGGTGGGAGCCAGGCTGGCGGCCACGCTGTTGACGGGCAGCAAGGTGATGTTGCCGTTCAGAGCCACGGGGACGTTGGCCACGTACTGGGTTTGCCCTGAGAGGGCGTTGTTGGCTAAGCCCACGCCCTGGATGGGGACGGCCTGCTGCAGCAGGTTTGGCATGGCGATGAGGTTACTCGTCCCCGCTCGGCTCGTGATGATCTGCTGGTTCGTGCCGGGGATGATCTGGAGCTGACCAGAGGCATCCTGCTGCACGTTGACTTGGGCAGGGGTGGTGGCAAACTGGAGCTGCTGCCCATCGATGGTTTGGAATTGGGGAATGACCTGGTACTGGATATTTGGGATAACGCCCGGCAAGCCCGTGAGCACCTGCTGGTTCTGGAGGTTGGAAGCAGTCGTGACCACGTACTGCCCCGCGCTCACGGGCCGGCTTTTGGAGGCGTCTCCGCCGTTGCTGCCGTTGCTGCCCTGCTCCTTGGAGGCCGTGGGCGTGCTGGAGCCAGCGGAAATGATCTGCCAGCCGTTGGCTGACTGGGCGATCTGAGTGGTGGCGGCTGTCAGGTCCAGCTCGCCGCTCCCACCTTGCTGGCCCTGGGAGCTGTTGGAGTTCTCGTTGGGAGACTCGATCCGGCTGCAGGTAGCTGCCAGCAGAGCCAGCGGGGAAGGCTGCGATTCCTGGGAAGGAGAGGAGGAGTTAAGGAAACAGGAGGCGGCCCAATGGGCAGGCTGAAAATAAAAAAAAAGGGGGGGGGGGGGGAAATAAAAAAGAAAGCAGGGAGGAGCATACTTGGAAAAGATAAACACTCCTTCCTGAGAAAACCCACCCACAGCCGGAAAAATACAACTGCCAGACACAGGGCTGTCAGGCCAGGACAGACTGAACCCACAGGGAAAAACCCTCTGGGAGGGAGTCTGCATGTAAAAGGCAAGAAGAGACGTCTCCTCCACCCCAAAGCGGGTGAATCTCCCCACAGGAGAACAACTCCGGGGAAGTGCAGTCATTCCTGGGCACCCCGACCTGGAGAAGGGCCAGTCGGGGCTGCGGTGTCTACTGGGAGCAGAGGAACTGTCATGTTTTTGAGGGCACTGCACAGAGCTGGGGGAGGAGGGGAAGCCACGGGTGCTGCGGGTCAGCGCTCCGGCAGGGCGTTTGGCAGCGTGACGATCCCCCGGCGCGCACTCGCCCTTCTCTTCCTCTGCCCAGGGAGAGGAGCCGGCGTAACGCTTGGCTGGGCCAAACAAACACCTCGGCCCGGCCCTGGACTTTGCTACGGGGACGGCGAGTTCCCCAGGGCAAGCGGAGCCAGGAGGCCGCCAGCCTGGGCTGTTCCTCTCTCCCCACACTCACCTGGCTCTCCCCACCGCCTGTGCTGCTGTTACTGCTGGCATCTCCTTCGCCCTTCTCAGGCTTCACTGTCGCCATCTCCTCGGGACTCTCTTGGTCTGCGCGGGCGGGAAACGACAGTGGGAGTTAAAGACATTTCTGGGCAGGAGAGGGGGATGAGGGGTGTGAGGACACATGGGGAGCCACAGGCAGGGAAGGCAGGAGAGCTGGGCAGAGCAGGGGGGAAGGCACGCTGGCAAGCGCTCCAGGGGGACAGTGTGCTGCTCGGGCACTGGCGTGAAGGGGCTGGGAACCGGAGGGAGCTGCCAAAGGGGAGCTGGCAGCGGGACAGGCGGAGGAGGACCCGGCCCAGCTCCAGGCTCCAGCTCCTCCCCACCCGCTCGGGACACTCCCTGGCCCCCGTCGAGGTCCTCCCCGGGCCTCCCCTTTCCCTTCCCCGCTGGCCTGGGAGCACACCTCCTGCCCCGGTCCTCCATGGATCCACCCCGGAGGCCCTCTGCCTGCCCTGCCCACGGGATTCCCCCGCCGTGGATCCAGCCCACGGGGCTCCCCAGGGATCCCCTGGCCAGGACTCCTCAATCCGTGCTCCCTGTGACCCCCACCGCGCGGGGGTCCCTGCTCCCCCCAGTCCCTCCTCTCCCACCGCTCAGGGGCCTTCACATCCCCCTCCTCTGGCAAACCCCCTCCCCTCCCCCGCTAGGACCTGGGCCTTGTGCCCCCCACTCCTCCTCACACCCCCAGCACCCCTGACCAGGGTCCCCCCCAGCATCGCTTCCCTGGACTCCCTCCCTCCCAAACACCCCCCGACCCCGGCTCCA